GAGAGAGAGAGAGAGAGAGAGAGAGAGAGAGAGAGAGAGAGAGAGAGAGAGAGAGAGAGAGAGAGAGAGAGAGAGAGAGAGAGAGAGGGGCAAAAAGGGGGGATTGGTGCCAAAAGGGACGTCTCTCTGCTACTCACCACATGCACAAAAGACAAAATATGGGGGGCTAGACACACACACACACACACACAGAGGGGGGGGTGCCAAACATCACCTCGAAAAAAGAAAAGAAAAAAAAGAGAAAAACGCCAACATTCTACGACGATATCCTCCCTCTCCTTCCCGCCCCCCGCTTCGGCTGCAGCGTAGCTGCTGCGGTTCCACTTGTAATTCTAAATAAAAGAAGGCCTGAAAGGCTGTCCTCTCCAGATTAAAAGAAACGAAAAAGACTCCCCGTCAGAGGTGGGGAGCAGTCAAATGCCTTCAGCGTCTTTCTTTTTTTTTTTTTCACTCGTTTCTTTTTCGTGCGTGAAAACGACGACCTTCTTTGTATTCCCCTCTGCTGGGGCATGGTCCCACTAGCAAGGGGATAGGATAAAAAAGATTTTGTGTGGCAGTTCAGTGACCCAAAAGCTGTTGTGCAGTACTCGTGATCCCATGGTCAGTATTTTACATGTATTACCTGAAAAAGTAAGGAGATCTTTGTTCCCCTCCTCCTCTCCTTAACACTGGGCACACAGGTGCAAAGGAAGCTTCCTGCCAAAATATTTTCAATCCGTTGGGGGTATGGCCAACCGCAAAAGAGAGTCGGGTCCGCCATAGGCCCACTGGATAGAAGATTTTCAGTATTTTGCTTGCTGTTGTGCCATTATCTCATTGGGTGGAGCCCTCCTTCAATCACGGATTATATGGAGGGTGTCATGATCACTGCTGACAGAAGTCGAGTTTATTTCATAAAAAAATGTGGCAGGTACTGTGTTCACTGTTGTTGCAACCACCACCATCAGATCATTTGTGATCTGATGGCTGGGAAGCACTCTACCGTGATTTCCGGTGGGAGGTCTCTGTTTCTTCTTTTTTTGCCTTTCTCCTGTTTTCTCAGGCCAGAAATTCGTAATGAAGCTGTCACGCCGCTGCCACTCAGTGTCATACTGCATCGGCCACACTCCTATCCGACTGCTAATGGGACCATGCCCCTGGTCAGAGGTCCAGCAGATGGTTGTCAGAGAGGAGGGTACCGGTACCGCCCTGTTTTTCCCTTGTGCTGGTACCTTTCACTTGCAGGCTCGACAAAAATTGGCTCGCAGGGCATTTTTAGACTCGGCATCAATAGCTGAGAAAGGTACTGGTGGTTTGAAGTTTAAACATGCTACTGGAAGCCTATATGAGGAATGCACTTCTAGGTATGAGGACTGCAGTTCTAGGTATTACCGGCCGTGTCTAATCGCCTGCCCCCCTGGCCAAGGTCTAACATATGCAACATCAGGGGCACCACAATCTCTGGCCCTAGCCTGCCAAATCCAGAAGGCTGCCCGTCCCCCACTTGAGAAGACCTTTGCCAAGCGTACTGTCTGGAACACGAGACATGCTACCCGAATGGCTGTGTCCCCGTGTGGACGTATAACAGTGAATGGATTTTCATGACTTGCTGGTGGAAAAGGACCTGGAACAACTCTCGCCAGAATGGATAAGGAGCAAGGCCCCTAGTTTTTGCGAAAAAAAAGAACCGGAAACAAAAGGTTGTGCAGCGATCCAAACAAACAACTCTTACCTCAGGGTAATCTCCAAATTTGCAGCGATACAAACAAACGACTTTTACCTCAGGGTAATCTCCAAATTTGCAGCCGAATTCGAGAAAATGGAGAAACTAAAGTAATTTAGCAAAAGTTAGTTTTTGGGAAACCCGGGTCGGAGTCAGATCTGTTAACGACCTTCAGGTGCCCGGTGTTCAAATCTATCGTGTGAGGGTCTCCAGTAGCTGTGGATGTAACTGGTATGCGAGCGTCCTATGTTCTTGTACAAAATTGCT